GCTAACTTAACTATGTTAATCTTCAAGTATATTAATTCTAACGTTGTTCAAAATTACAGATCTTATTAAAAAAAAGTCCTGATATCTATAACTAACTATATATTTTATTTGTAGTGCTCGGAGCCTTTGTTCTTCTTCTTTGAATGTTTCGTATTTAGAACTTACCTTGTGGGTCCCGTTGCTGTGCATCTTGTGTTGTCAGTAACAATTCATCCTGAGATCTATCATGTTGCCAGGGTGCTAATTGATCTTGCGAAATATTTACTTCGCCACGATACATATAGTCCATCATTGCGGTCAACTCCTGATACTTAACATCTCTCAAAATTAGAATAGGATGTTTATCATATTGTTGTTGAAGTAAGGTCTAAAAAAAATTCATAATGATTAATTAAATATATGCATAGATGTTATTTGTTTATTATTTATTTAATACTTACTGCAAAATTAGACTACATGCTGATAAAACAACTTTGTGTGCTTTAAGAAATTTTCCTTCAGCAGCGATTGTACAATCCACAAGTGTCTGACTTGTCAAAAGATTGTCAAAGACACTGATCAGAGTGCTCTGATGGTTGTTCCATCGCAAACAAAACTGCTGATCGTTATCCATTTTGGACGAATGATAACGTCAACCTTTCTCTTATACAAGACGTTATAACACGTCTTCAATGTTTTAGCGGGAGTCCAAACTTAATGTTGTTTCTTTCTTGTTACTGCTTGTATCAAAATTCAGTGGGTGCTCTTCTAAGCAAAATAAGGATAGTGTAGAATGGGAAATGACAAGTTCTTTGTTTAGTTAAAGTGATACATCACTTGAGTTTCTTAATTTATTATTTGGTATTATCAAGTAACAATGTTGCCTAAAATGAGAAAAAAAAATTAAACAATTAATAACTATCAAATATAGTAGAATAAAAATATATATATAGTTATAGAGTTCAATTATTGATTCATTATTAAAATAGTAGATAATTTTTTGAAAATATTTTTAAACCAAGATTTTTTTGCATTTAAAATAAATTATCTGCAATTTGTATGACTTCTACGCTCAGGTAAGGGTAAGGTCAGCTCAATATGCTATTTATGAAAAAAAAAAAAAAAATAACTTCATCTACACAAAGAAATAATATTTTATATATTATTTATATTTTTAGCGAATTAATAGTAAGTAAAATAAATTGTCATTTTGATTAAACAGAAGTAAAAATGATCGCATATAATTCAACCACATTAATTTCAGCTCAATAAACAATCACAAATAACTAAATAGAAAAAGTACACTTTTCAATATAAAAAAAGGATATACACATAGTAGAAAAAGTCTACGGATATTCACAAAATTTTTCTAAAATTACGCATAACTTTTTTAATTTTTACTCAAATTCATTTTTATTTCCTGATTTATTTTAACCAAAGAAACAACAATAAAGTTGCAATATTAAAACTAAACAGTTATTCTTTAAAAAAAAAATTAAACACAATTATATGCGAAAGTAGCAATTTTTGAAGCAGAAAAAGTCTACGGATATTTCTTAATATTTACATTTACCCAGTAAAATTCACAAAAATCTTAAATTTAATAGCCTGTGGGATAACCCCTGCATTTAATAACCTCTGTTAAGCGTCTTTCCATTGACTCAACTAGCTTTGCAATATCCAGTGCGTTTATTTCTAGCCATTCTTCTTTGATGACGTATCTTGCTATATCCTTGCTGGAAAACTAATGCTGGCGAATCTTATTTTCCAAATAAACCCACAGATGTTCTATAGGACTAAGGTTTGGTGATTCTGGTAGTGTTTGAAGTTGCCTGAGAGCATAGTACAGCATCCAAATCTGTACTATGACTGCTGTATGCTTAGAGTCATTGCCCTGCTAAAACAAAAAGGTTGCCTCAAGTCCTAACGTTCTGACATTTTCTTTCAAATTTGTTTTTAGAATATTTAGAAAACCATATTTCTCCATTGTATCTTGTACAAATTCAAGTCTAACCGCACCATTACTTGCTATACACCCCTAAATCATTACGCCGTCACCAACACGTTTTACTGTTTACGGTTTATCACAGGTTGTGCATAATTTTCTCCATACAAGTTTTCTAACTTTGATTCCAAATATTTAAAATTGACTCTCATCGGAGAAAATAACTCATATTCAGAACTTTATAGGTTTATTTATACGCTTTCTTGCACGGCTTAATCATTTTATTCTATTATATCAGGATATGTATGGCTTCTTTTCTGCAATCAGGGTATAGTACATGCATTTCTTCAAAATTTTCAGCACAGTATCAGGATATATTTTGTTTTCAAGTATTTCGGCAATATGTTCAGCTATTTTGAAGGCTATTACTCTTGGATTTACTTTCACCTGGTTGATTATGCTACGTCTTTCTCTATTTGACAAAATTGTGGGGCGGCGAGTGCGAGGTTTAAAAATGTAAGTACTGGTCTCTTTGAAGTTATTTGTAATTCTCTGCACAGATGAATATTGACGACCAATATCTTCAGCAATTTTTCTTTAGCTTACGTCATCTTTCTAAAATTTAACAGTTATTTGTCGCGCACTAAAACTAATTTCACGTCTTTTATTTTATATTGTAAAAATTTATTGCTTATATAAAAAAACATTATTAAATGATTGATTTTTAGACTCTTTAGGAGGTCAACTAATAATTAAATATCATTTAATGACACTTTTATGCTTGCAAGCGAATTTAAATTAGCGGTAAATGTAAATATTAAGAAATATCCGTAGACTTTTTCTGCTTCAAAAATTGCTACTTTCGCATATAATTGTGTTTAATTTTTTTTTAAAGAATAACTGTTTAGTTTTAATATTGCAACTTTATTGTTGTTTCTTTGGTTAAAATAAATCAGGAAATAAAAATGAATTTGAGTAAAAATTAAAAAAGTTATGCGTAATTTTAGAAAAATTTTGTGAATATCCGTAGACTTTTTCTACTATGTGTACGTTAAAGAAGTACGATTTACGAAGAAGACAACAAAAGCGACGAACAGTTAAAACCGCATAAAAAACAATATGAAAAACCGACAATATATAATCGAACGTACGTACGAAAGACAAGACGTCAAGCTTTCTTTAGCTATTTTACTTGAGTCTATTTCTTTTAAATATTTTTTTTATTTACTTATTTATTCAATTTTTTTTAAATTCTGTTTTTAATAAACTTAGGAAAGTTAAAAATTTACCGAAACGTCTTGTTAAACACTTCAACGACGACGACGACGACGACAATGAATCAACCAGGCAAAATTTGTAGCAGATGTTTACTTGTTTCTCCTTTACTTGCTTTTATTTTTTATATTTTTTGCTTTTTCTTAATACAACAATATTTTAACTTTATAATTTTTTAAATAAGATTGCACAGATTTTATTTTTTAAGACGTGACTTATTAATTATTATTTTATATATATATTTTAATTATCTTACATATATAGTATCGAATGTACGGTAAATTCGAACTTAACAGACTTTTCGAACAAAAAAAAAAATCCCAGCACACGTCCACAATCGTAGCAAGTTAGAGGCAGACTGAAATATACGACTGCTTGTATCGGAGCAGAAGAGAAATATGAAATTTTTTTTTTTTTGCACTACCGACAATAGAATTTAATGCGCTCTCATCGCTCTTTACACAGAATCTACACAATTCCACGCCCAACTCTTTGGGACAAAGATTTTATTTACAAACATATATACATACATTTGAACATATGTATATAAGCATACATATGTTTACTTGTGTATAAAGAAAGGTGATAAATTTTTGAAGATTATAAGCAAATAACATAAAAATATAAATTTGGAATATAAGAAAGATAAATTTTATTTGTACTATACAATATTATAACCTACTGTAATGTTGGCGATTACAAGGCAGGCATTTTACTACGTAAATTGTTTTTGTTCCAAAAATAATAACAAAAACAAATAAAACTAAGACGGAAGACAACGTTTGTTTTACATATGTATGTACATAAATAAGGTATAAATAACATTACACAAATAAATAATATAAAAACACAATAAACATATAAAACATACATTAAAATATTATATATTCAATAATTATTTAAAAATACAATAAATATATAAAAGAAACAATAAAAATATATTATTAATAAAATCCATCTTATTTAATGGATGACCCTGTGCGCTTCAAATCATGTTTGGTTTTTTCGTCTATGACTACAACCGTACGCACGCTATAACTGTAAACAGGACAAGAGAGGGAAGCAAGGGCTCAAGTAGGCAACTAACACGACGCCAATAATTAAATGCTTGAAAAATAAGAAGTAATAATTTCAAAGAATTTATGCACTGCATGTGCAGAAAAGCAATCAAATATTTTGTGAAAAATATACAAAAACAAAACCATGCATCATCTTCAGAAATATTGCCTCACATACTCTTTCATACAAAATCATTTAGAGTGTGCAATAGAATGAAGAATATAAGAACAATTTAGTTTTGATTATTTTTTTGTTACTAGCAAAAATTTGTTAAATTTGTAGTAACTATTTCTTTTGTTGGCGTGCATAAACAAATTTAAGGAAAATATTGCACACGCATTTTTTATGTTATGCAGTTATTTTTATTAAATTTCACTGCAATGCGAACAACAATTAGAAATTTGTTTTGTTAAATTTTTTTGTCACTCTGCTTGCGGGACTTTGTTTAAATCAAAAGATTATTTATTTATAAAAGTATAGAATACTTGTTTAAGCTCAATATGATTAGGTAGAGATCCCTAATTAGTACAATATATGAAATATTTATATTTCCTGAGTTACTTGAATGGAAAATATATATCTATGGTTAGAGATACTTGTCTTGATTCGTACTTAGTTGTTGTCACTTATATTCTTTTTATCCTTGTTAGCTTAATGTGGTGTTGTTATTTATATTGTTTTTTTGAATCAGATTGCTTATCCCCCATGTTTAATATAAACGGTTGATATAATACGAAGAGTCGCTAAAGGAGTTGTTAGGATGTCCAAATTCTACTTTATTTTTAATATTTTCTACATTTTCTTGAAACCGTTTACTAAATTTATAACATAAATAATGTAGTTATTGTTAATATTCTTGATAAACTAAGCATCGCAGTTACCTGATAGTGAGGCAGTATATAAAAAAGCACCCAACTCAATAAACAAGACGTCGCGCATATAATTTAAAAATTCTCATTACTTTTCGATTAAATGTCATATTGCACATATTAAATTTTTTTAATATAAGTTGTAAAAGACGAATTAAAATGAAAAGAACAAACTTTTGAATTTTCAGCAATTCTCAAGCAAATTATAAAAAGTGATATTGCTTTTTTAAATCAGACAATTGTACTGATTAATTCTTTAATACAGAAGCTCTGTCGAAGATGGTAGACTTCCCCTACCTAGGGGAGTTTCAATTATATTATTATAAAGGACTCTCCTACCATTAACACATTATATATTAAACAAATAATATTACCAGTCAAAACTGGAATCGCACTGGCTTTATACTAAAACTACTTCTTAAAACATAAATATATATAATTTTACATTTTAGTGTTAATTATGATATATGACATATTTTGACTTATATCATTTATACAAAAGTAAAACTAAAAGTTCTACGTTAATTAATTAGAATTAACCACAATTAATTTTTAATTAAATTTAATGAATTCCGACAAAATTTGCTTATTTCTGTGAATAAGATCATTCATTCATCTATTCTTTAAAATCTAGATATTTACTGATATTACAAATTATTATCGATGCATTTATAAATAATTGAAGTAAAACTAATAAACTTTTATTGTCACTAAAATCGGCGCAATCAATTCTATAATTCAATATATCTGTAGTTATTTTACGGTTTGAACTTTTCTGTTGTATATAAATATTAAAAACGGCAAAAAAGTCTGAAGTAAAAATTGAATAAAAATACTTTGTAGGCGTTTCTGCATATAAAGCAAACATTAAACCAAGATAAACTTTGCAATTGTCTGTTTCAGACAATCTGTGATTTAAAAACTCCTACAGGTCAAACGAAGACATCAATTACTTCGGCGCAAGGCAAAGGATATACGTTAAAGAAGTACCCACTACAAAAGCAAAATCTGAATAAAAAAAATTATGCATTACATGCATATTGATGCACTGCATCAAGTAACCTCTCAATTTATGTGCTTATGCCATTTAAACACATAAAGCGAACTATCCGAAATAATTTCAAAATAAAAAAGAAACAAATATGTCGATACTCATAGCAGTCGCACATGCTCCTTCCTCGTCATCATCCATTGAGGCGCTTATGCACTTCATGTGTTGATTGTTTTATTATGATGATGTTAAATTACAATAATCCAGCAGTTGAATCGTAATCGCATTTGTGTGGGTTGTCGTCATTATAGCCATCTGTGCCTTTGGTAACTGCAACTGCTCCGGCAGCATAAGGAAAGCAGCAATCTCATTGCTATGCTGTTCCATGTTTGCTGTAGCAATTCAACAAAAGAAATTTTAAGATTTCTATATAACTTATTTTTTTAGTACATAACACATGCACATTTTTTTGTCATTATCTACTAAAGATACGGTTACGCTATGGAAGATATCTCTTTAGATATGATACTCTTATAATTTTAATATCGAATTCGTTAAAGTTCATAATTTTTCTTTTTAATAATAATATTTTGTGATATTAAAAAGTAATTTTATTTATATAGTTTTTCGGCGTAACATAGGCTATTAAAACATTCGATATTAGTTATAATTTTAATTAAAATAATAAATTTAATAATTTCCGTTTCAAACTGTCCGACAGTTTGTGTGTGTGGGTGAATGATACTGATTTTTTTTTTATTTTTTTCAAATAAAAAAAATTTATTACATTAGCATAGATTTCAATATATTTGAAAAATTAAACTGGATATATATACATTTGCTTAATAATTAGAATAGAGGAAAAAGGTATTTTTCTTATTAATTGTAGCTGTGCTTAAAGCAAAAATGCCAAGATTTAAGAATTGAATAAACAACAAAATATTTTTGGGCAATACGCAAGAACTTTACTTTATTCGGAAGTTCCAACATATTTCACATGGAACAAAACTTTAAAAAAGTGGCAGCCACGTAAACGAGGTGTTGCAGTCAATGGTTATCCAGGATTATTTTCAGCAAACACACTGGGTCGTTTATATACTGTTCATCCAAAACAACGAGTGTTTTTTTTTAAGACTGCTTTTAATAAATGTACGCGGTCCAACATCGTATGAGTATTTGAGAACTGTCAATGGTCAGCTATACAATACATCTCATGATGCATGTAGAGAATTGCAATTGCTGGAAAGCGATAATCATTGAGACATTACGCTCCGGCATGCAGTATTAAGTTCTTTTCCACATCAAATTCGTCAATTATTCGCCATATTGTTGACAACATGTTTTCTAAATAATCCCAAAGAATTGTGGGAAAAATATAAATGCTCAATGAGTGAAGATATACTACATAGACATAGAACAACAAATCATGACTTAAATATTCAATTCAATCGTGAAATTTATAACGAAGCTTTGATTATGATCGAAGACTTATGTTTACTTATATCAAATCAACCACTTAAATTATTAGGATTGTATTCGCCAAATCGTTTGGCAACTGATATGCAGCGCGAACTTCAGTATAGCTCTGAAGATTTGGTTGAATTTGTTACATGAAGCGAACAAATGTTTACACACCAACAAAAGCTCATTTATGATCGGGTTTCGAACGCAATTGCGGCAAAAGAAGGCGGCTTTTTTTTTCTTGGATGCACCAGGTGGAACTGGAAAAACTTTCTTAATTTTAGTCATTCTTGCAAAGGTTAGGATGCAAGGTAATATCGCTTTAGCACTTGCATCATCTGGAACCGCTGCGACATTGTTAGATGGTGGTAGAACAGTCCATTCGGCACTAAAGTTGCCACTAAACATACATTCATGTGAAAATGCACTATGCAATATAAAAAAACATTCCAATATGGCTAAAGTACTTCAAAAATGTCACATCATTGTTTGGGATGAATGCACAATGGCACATAAGTATTCATTGGAAGCATTAAATCGAACACTTAAAGATTTAAATGCCAACGATAGACTTTTTGGAGGCGCTTTAATTTTATTGGCAGGTGATTTTAGACAAACATTGCCAGTTATTCCACGTTCAACCTATGCTGATGAAGTCAATGCTTGCCTCAAATCATCTATTTTGTGGCGAAATGTCCATATATTGCGACTTACCGAAATCATGCGTGTTGGACTACAGAGGGATTTAGCTGCAGAACTATTTGCCAAACAATTGATGGATATTGGTAATGGAAACGTAAGTCTTCATGAAAATACGCACTTTATTAAATTGCCAGAAAATTTTTGTAAAATTGTTAATTCGAAAGAGGAATTAATAGAAAGCGTATTTCCTCACATATATCAAAATTATCAGAACCATCAGTGGCTTCAAAGTAGAGCGATTCTGGCTGCCAAGAACTTAGATGTCGATGAAATCAATT